CGGGGGGCGGGGCGCGCCGTTGGCGGGAAGGCGGAGGCTCGCGCCGTGCTGTCGGGCCTGGGTCCCCGCGGCGCCTCCGCTCAGGGGGTCGTGTGGGCCGGGCCCTGCCTCCCTCTGCGGGGCGGCCCCGGCCCCGGCCCCATCCCGATCCCGATCCCGGCCGGCTTAGGGCCTTCCCCCCGTACCCGCCGGGCTGCAGGAGCTGGGTCTGACTTGGAAGTGGGGGGCTCTGGCAGCGGTCAGGGCTCTGCCTGCAGCCGGTAACCTGTCCAGGCAGGGCTGGGGCCTGTGAAGTGGGAGTGAGTGGGGAGAGGGCACCGGGCAGCCTCGGGCAGAAAGCAAGAAGTCCCTGTCGAGTCCAAAGTCATCGCTGCCTTGTGTTAACCATGAGAGAGCGCACAGGGCGGCGTCTCCCCTTAGCCCTGTCAGACTGAGGCACCAAACTCGTGTCCGAGTTGAGCATTTTTTTCTTCCTTTTCCTTTTTTTTATACCAACGGATGTAAAACAACCTTTCAGGAATTAGTGTTGTGGAATGCTGTGCTTAGCAGGGAGGGGGCACCCTGCAGCGTTTGCCCTAAAGACACATCAAGTCATCTTTGCCGCGTGCTGTCTTAGCGGAATCCTCCTCTTCTGTCAGTGTAAAGCACTATTAAAGTTTTATTAGATGTGCTGAAGTGTGTGGGGTTTTACTTTTACAGGGTGGAAAAATACAGACCCATGAAACTATGTGAAATAGTTGGAAATGAAGATACAGTGAGCAGGTTGGAGGTGTGTAGCTGTCCCTTCATTTTTTTGAAATGTTAGCCCAAAAACCGATTCTGCGCAGATCCGCAGACCAAAAGCACTTTTGTATTTTTACATCCATAGCTGAGTATGTGGGAAAAAAAGTTTCTGATATACTCAAGAAATTACTTATTTTAGGACATGCTTGAGTGGTGTTCAAGGAAATAATGCCTTCTTGAATTGGAACGTTGTTTAAATTGGCCCTGTTTTGATACAACTTAGAAAATGTGTAGCTGTTATAATAATATTGTTTCAATGAATAAATGTAATTTATATAACAACAGAAAGAAACATAAATTTCTGGAGGAAAAATATTTTCCTTGACAAGTGAGTTTGTGAACACGGTATTTGTTAACAGAAAGCTTATACTAGCAAACATATAACAGGTGCAAAGGAAAGGCAAGAGTACTAAAGACCTGTGGGATTAAGTGCTTTTAAGTTTTTCCATATTATTCTAGGGACTGACTTCTAACGGTTCAATTGAAAAAACAAAACATGAAAGCAGCAAGGTTCAAAAAAATGAAAGCAGGAGGGAAGAAAAGAAACTGTAGCTCTGTTTCTCATTATTAAAATAGAATTGGAAACTATTTGTTACATAGTTTTAAAAATTTTTATTCTTTCTTAGGTCTTCGCAAAAGAGGGGAACGTACCAAATATTATAATTGCTGTAAGTATTGTTGTGTTGTACTGTATTTCACTGTGTTGGTCCTGGCTTCTGAAATCTAGCCACAAAAGCCTCCCAGTATAGATTTGCATTGTGCCTGAAAGTATTGGTAAGAGATGTTGATTGTATGGCCACTGAGCAAGCAGTGTTCTTGGCAGAATACACAAATGGTGAACAGCTTTCTTTTAAAACCTGACCTAGCCCTCAGGTGCCCATTGAAGCATGTCTCCTGCTTTTCCCTGCAGTGTTTCTCTCCTCTGTTGGAGGCAGGATCCCGAACTCAGGCAACCTCTAGTCTGGTGTTTTGCCTGCAGTTCCTCTGTTGCAGCTGTTTTTCATGATGGGAGAGCATTGTAGAGTGTACAGCATAGAAAATGATATTAAACTTACCAGCAATTGTTGCATTTTGCATTTTTAGGGTCCCCCAGGAACAGGTAAAACCACCAGTATCCTCTGCTTGGCGCGTGCTCTGCTTGGTCCTGCATTAAAGGATGCTGTTTTGGAGCTGAATGCCTCAAATGACAGGTGAGAATGAATAAACCTTATCAAACTTTTAAAGAAGCAGCAAGTATCCATTTTTATTTTTAGTTCAACTCAGGCCAGTGTGATAGGGTTAATGCTACAGTAAGGCCTCTAGTACTTATTTTAATGCAATTTTTCCAGCTAAAAGTTAGGCAATCTTTGATGTCCACCTATCAACAAAGATATTATTACTTGATGTTTTATAAACTTGATAGGTACCTTCATGCACAAAAATATAAACAGATGGAGTGCAGAATCCATAATGGTACTGTTTTCTTGAATTCACTTTAAAGAGTTAAGCTTCCTGCATTCATGAAGATCCTCCTAAGAATGAAAAGTGAACAAGTTGTTTACAGTGGAACTCTTCAATGCTTAAGAAAAAAAGTGAAGTGATAGAAATTAGCACTGTAAGGGCAGTTGAGGATTAAAATGTAGGATAAGGGTGTTAGGTATGTAGAGGACACTGACTCTGCTCCAAGGATCAGGCACTAAGGGCTGATTATATTTCCCAAGTTCTGTAGCAGACCTGTCCTGAAGTATTCTGAGGACATGTTCTAGAGGGTTGTTTATGAGTACAATACAGTTTACCTGCTTTTTTTAATATCAGTTATAGAAGAGCTATAGAATCACAACATTCATTTTCTAAACAGAACAAAAAACTGAAGTCCTTTATTTTTAAAAGTAAGTCTTTGCTGAGACTCAGTCTAGAAAAGCACCCATGTTGTGCTAAAATGATGCAGTCTGTCCAGCTGTTTTTCTTAAACTCTTCTGAGTAATAGCTGTGTCTGTGGATGTAGCTGTGTGAAGTACTGGCAAAGAAGCAAAGCACTGTTAAACGCTTCTGCCCTTGTTCAATTATTACCCCTACCTTTTGCCAAACATACGTAATTTTGTGGCAGTACTGTAAGGTTACTGACACATATGTACTGATACTGTTAAATTATTTTTTCAAAGCCTCCAGAAATAAGGAGTATTGGTGTTTAAATCTGAATCAGTTAGGCAGTCTGGCTTACAACATGGTTTCACAACAGTTATACTGGCACAGCTGAAGGGGCAGGAACAAACAGCAGGAGAATAGAGAGCTCAGAACCGCTTCAGCTGATGTGGCTGCTGAGTAAAATCTGTTATGTAATTTCACCCCATTGATCATGAATCACTTGAATTATTGTTCCAGAGGCATTGATGTTGTGAGAAACAAAATCAAAATGTTTGCCCAGCAAAAGGTCACACTTCCAAAAGGTCGGCATAAAATAATCATCCTTGATGAAGCAGACAGGTACGTTGATTTTTTCTTAACCTCAGCTACTATGTAAAGTGTGTTGCATCTATCCTGTCTGTGGAGCTGCTCTCTTGGACAGTCTTAGATGTTCCTATCAGGCTATCAAAAATAATTTGTTGGGAAATAAATATGCATTGAACAGTGTTCTTACGAGGTTACTCATATCAAGCAAAGATCATTGCTTCAAAGGAGATACTGAATATTGGGGTGAAACACTTTGTAATTTATCTGGATATGAAATAGCATCTTCCAGTTTACTGTCTCTTTCCCTTGGAAAAGAGTCTGGCTTACGTAGACAATTTCACTGGATGAAAACTGGACATTCTCCTCCATCTGCATATAAGTAGTAGTATTCTTAGCAGTATTCTTCAGAGTAGTAATGATCTATTTTTGTGTGTTTGTTAGTTTTATGGAGCTCTTGGTGACTACCTGCATTGCAGGGTGATTTGTTCACATGACTAGAGAAAGCTGCTTAGTTTATCAAGCCAGAATATCAAGTAATTTACAAAGCACTGTTTAATATCAGTAAACTCTGAAGCTTGTGTAAAAATAGTTATTAGGCTGCACCTGTAAGTCAGTGAAGGGCTTAAATCTGTCTTCTTTTCTCCCCCAGCATGACAGATGGAGCACAGCAAGCATTGAGAAGAACAATGGAAATTTATTCCAAAACAACACGCTTCGCACTTGCGTGCAATGCCTCTGACAAAATCATAGGTAAAGTGCTGCTAGTCCCTGGGAGTTTTTGTCATGTGTTCTCCATACTGTTGGCTAACTTCCAAGGCACTTTTCAGAAATACCTTGGACCTGCTCATTGCAAGAAACCATGGTACTTCTGAAAAATCAAACCACCTGTACATTCAGCTAATAAAAGAAGAGTATATTTGTGTAGCCGGGGAACCCTCTGAACAGCTGGTTTTGATGGATAGTGCTATGCATGACTGCAGAAGCAGATTTCTTTACTTTGGGCTTAATCTCCGTCCAACTCTGCTACAGTTTAAGATGTTTGATGTATTGTTTAATGAGTATTGAACCCCTTTTCTTGTCCTGCTTTCTGAAACATAAAAGTTTGCCTACAGGCTAGCACATTGTAGACCTTTAGACTTTTCTTGTTTAGCAATGAGAAACACATACATTCAGAAAACAAGGAGAACAGAAGCAGCTGAGCTTCATATATATATTTGCACATATCTCGGAAAACTCAAGCAGCACATTTGGGCTCAAGTGAAGGACTGTAAAAATTGTATGCTCTTAAGGAGATGCTATATTCTGTCTAGAGCTGACATGTTCTTTTTCTTTAAAAGAAGACAAATGAAGAGTTGGAAGCCGAGATACCTTCTTCCAAGATGAAAACAAATGGTATTTTTTTGAGAGAAGAGGGAAATGCTAATTACGCATCTCTGTCCTCAGAACCTATTCAATCACGATGTGCAGTGCTGCGTTACACCAAGCTGACAGATTCACAAATCCTTGCAAGGCTACTGAAAATTGTTGAGAAAGAGAATGTACCATATACAGATGATGGACTAGAAGCCATTATCTTCACAGCCCAAGGAGATATGAGACAGGTAAAAGAAGAAAGGCAACGAAACAAAGGCTTCTGTTTAAAGCAAAAAAACCTTTGAATTGTGGCTCTCAAAGATTTATCTTTGGAGAGGTAAAGCAAAGCGGATGTGACCTGTGGCACAAAAATAATTAAACTCTTCCGTTTTGTGAGGTTTTAAGGTGGATCTGTTTCTTAAAAGTAAATTGGTGGGAACTGGATACCAAATTTGTGGGAGGAAACAAAGTCTGCATACATTTGCAATTTACGCTGTTGCTTAATTGGAAACTGCTTATTTGGCATCATTTTCTGAAAAGTGTGTTTCATCCTGAGGAGGGGAGTGAGAAGTAGAGCACTTCCAAAAATAAATGAAGTCTTATTTTTTCTTTCACAGGCATTAAACAACTTACAGTCCACATATTCTGGATTTGGCTTTATAAACAGTGAAAATGTCTTTAAGGTTAGTAGTAGCGTAAAACAGTGATGCTAAAATTTTAGCACTACAGCTGTGTGAGAACTGCCTTTGAAAGTGCTTTGCCAGTATGCAGACAGCACTACATATGTAGCAATTAAAGCATTAGGCCGTAAAAAAGTGCATGTGCCTTTTGAAAAGGGAGAGTGCGCTAGCAGTCCCTAATGGCATGCCTGATACCTTCTGGCTTTCCAGCTCTCTCAAAGCACATGAATCACATAACTGCTGGGAAATTTCACAGTGATAACTTTCGAATCTATTACTTGGGTCTTCTCATTTCATGCCATTGAGTCTGCCATGGCAGGATAGCTGAAAAGTCATATTAGTTAAAATTTAATCTGTATTATAGAACGTGTCTGATTCAGTACTTTAGCTGTATAGAAGCTTTGTGAAAATACCAAAGGTTTAATGGAGAGTCTTCTAATATTTTGAAGTGTATTATTTCTCTTTGATATAGGTATGTGACGAGCCTCATCCTCTGCTTGTGAAAGAAATGATACAGCACTGCATAAATGCAAATATTGATGAAGCATACAAGGTTGGTTTTCATGTGTTGTGTTGGCGTAGACAGACAATTTTTCTCTACAGAATTCTTGTTTGTTTTGAAGAATTCACAGTGTATGTTGTTTTTTAAGATAAGGGCAATACCATGTAAATAAGCTGATGAATTAAATCCTTTTTATGCAGGGGTTTGTTCAGATGAATAAGCCCACAAGCAAAAAAGCAAGTTGTATTGAAATTACTTCCTAAACAACTGAGGTTAAATCATCTGATAAATAGTACATGCAGTTCCAGTAGTTATATACAGCTCTTCCAAAAGTGAATATACTTGACTGACCTGATAAGTTTTGCAGATAATTGAGGGATTATTCTTGCCTGCACAGATTCTTGCCCACCTGTGGCGACTTGGATACTCTCCAGAAGATGTGATTGGCAACATCTTCCGTGTGTGTAAAACCTTTCAAATGCCAGAATATCTGAAACTGGAATTTATCAAGGTTAGTACTAACCTAGCTCCTAGTGGGGTCTTTTGGGTGTTTTTAAGAAGGTGATGTGATCCCTAATACAGGGGCAGGCTCAGGGTTTTCTGTTTGAGATTTGCTATATAGTACCGCAAAAAAAGTATTTCTTAACTCATTCCTGCTTTCTTTCCCACTCTGCATCATCAGTTTGTCAGCAAGAATGGTGACTTGAAGTTTAACATGTAATCATAACCACCCACAGAAGTGGCAAAAGTCACTTCAGTGATCAACTAGAATTAATAACAAATGTAATGCTGACTGAATTTATTATTTACATCAAAGCATTAAATAACTCCTTGAGAACTTTCTTCAAGCGCCTACTTGATTCTAGTCCAATAGACAGTAAAATATTAAATTATATTAACAGCCAGTTGACAATTGGTAAACTGGTGTAATGGAATCACTCTTCAGATTTAAAACCTGTCCTCAAATGTATGCACCTTGCTTCTTATAAAGGAATTGGGGAAATACAGGCTTTGATCAAAAAAAAAAAAAAAAAAGGCATTCTAATTGGTTTACATGAGAAGATACACTTCTCTGAGAAGTTTGAGTGACTCGAAGTTGGTCTCTTAGTAGTAAGGGATAGGTTCTATTTAGTCATTAGTCATATTATGCCTAGACTGGGGGAGAAAACAGAAGATTTTGCAATGTCTTTATCACCAGGAAATTGGGTACACTCATATGAAGATAGCAGAAGGTGTGAACTCACTGTTACAAATGGCTGGACTGCTGGCCAGACTGTGTCAGAAGACCGCCGCCCCGGCAGCAAGTTAGATGTTTCACTGAGCTGAAGCCTGCTTTCTGGAAGGTGAAGGCCTGGCGTGCAAGGTCAGCAGCCCTGGGTGCGTCCTGAGTTCTGCATGCAAAGAGCCTGTTCCTTGGTTTTGCTAAATCACAGAAAAATAACCAGGTTCTATTGTAAAAATGTTTTGTACTTTTTTATTTAGACCAATAAAGCTTTAAAATTTACTTTGACCCAAGAACTCTTACATGTTGTAAGAAGAGAGTACTGTGATAGTCCAGAGCAATAAGGTCTGCAGGAATAAAAAAACTTGAATCCCATTGTTAGTGATTACACTTCAAGTGTGGTCATGAGTGGTGGTCTTAGACCAAGACAGAAAAATTTTTGCACAAAATAAGGCATTTAATGAAGTTACAACTGAGGCATGCTGAGCAGGTGCCACTCCTGGGTGCTGTTTACGTGCTGTGGAGAAGGAATATATTTTCACCAAACATATGCGGGAGAAAGATTACACATTTCTTAATGGTGCCAGCTATTTATTTTGGATATTCCTTTTGTAATCTTTTAAAAATTTACCAAATTCTGGGATAGTCTGCATTCGAGTTCCCTTTTCCGTTCTTGCTTGTCCAAGTTAGATAATGTCATTTCACTGTAGTTTCAGCATACCAAAAAGCTACAGCATCACACTTTCCTGTCTGTTCAGTTTTAGAAACCACCTTGCCAATGCAGATGAGCAGTAAAGTGTGAAATGCAGAGTGAAAGCAAATATAAATTGAATTTGACCACCTCCATATCAGATGCAAGATGTGTGTCTCCAAGCAGAGCCATCTTAATATAATTAAGCATGTTCTGGTTATAGCAGTCAAACAAAACGTGGTAGAGGTACAAGTTACTGGAGCCTGCACTTCACCCTGCCCATTCTGTTGACGCTTTCCACCCCAAGTATTCAGTTGCCTGCACCACAGCTGTCTCGGTGCCAAACTGATCATCACTTGGCAGTATAAGTCGGCTTCAGCCCAACGACAGGCCCCTGCACTGAAGCAGTGGCTGGTTACACCCTCCATTTCTCTGACTCAGCCACAGGGCTACTGAGTTTCAGCAGCAAGAGCTGGTAGCGTCATAAATTGCCCCATCAAGACTTTCTGCAGCTCCTCTGACAAGAGCCTGAAGACAACCCTTTTTAATTCAAAGTGCAGGAGAGCAAGTTAATTGACAGCTAAAGCACAGACACATTTGAGCTTGCTCCCAAATGGAATAAAGCAAACAGCTCTTAGAATAATGGATGTAATAGTCATTTATCGAATTTACCTTTTGATTCCTAGCCAGTGACTTGTCACTACTAGCATAAACACTGTTAAATGTACAACTAATAATTTAGTATTAAGGGGCTTAAGCTGCTGAGTTCTTTACAGACACAGCATCACAGCTTTTGTCCCCAAAAACTTAAATAAGGCACTTTTAAAGAATAGATTAATTTTCCTTTGGCTTCACATCACAGCCAGCCTACTCTGTCTTTGCTTTCTAGTTAAATATGTTCATTGCTGAATGGGAAAGGAAGAGATGTTACTGTAGAAGTTTCATAAAATAGAAACCCCCATATTTGGAGGACTTGTGAGGCTGGTCCTTACCCCACTGCATGTACATACCTGCGCGTCATCTGGTTTGCTGTGTTGGTGCCAGTGGAAGGGTGGAAACACGGAGGGTCACAGTTCCTGCTCCTACCTGGTTGATGTGGTTTTCTCAACTATATTAAGTAGCTGCATTTCCACAGCTCCAGTTTGGAGCTGACTCTCTTCTGGGCTAACCCTTTACAGCATTGGGGGCACATAATCATACTCACTTTTCCGGAGAAGAGGAATAGTATCAGTCCAAGATACCACCAACACAGCTGGTTCTACCCAAGGTGGTTGCTCACCCTCTCTGAGGGCAGAGCAACTGCTTTCCAGCAGCTAGCTAAGGCTCCCCAGCTCCATTTCAGAGCCGCACCAGTGGTGCCAAAACTACTTTTCTAATGCATCTTAAATTGAAAACAGGAAGTGAATTGCTCACTTGGCTGCCTACCTAATATGAGGAGAGAGATACATGGACCCAGGGGAGATGTCATTTCTCCTTGCATTATGTTCAGACAACGCAGGATCTGGCAATTTTGGTTGACCACCAGAAATCCTTGCACACCTAAAAAGGAGTCCTGAAAGGACAGTGCGTCAGTGAACACACTCACACATACGCACCCACTGCAAAGAAAAACCATGAGGTGTTTCAGAACAAGACTGTAATAATGCTGATGAAGGTTCCTGTAACAGCCCCTGGATATCTTCCAGTGTAATGAGATCACTGGCTGAAAAGTACTTCAGGAGCTTTACAAAGCTAAGAACGGCTTTACCCCTCGCTCCAGCTAGCTCTTCTGGAGAGCTGCAAGGGGGGATTTGCTCAGACTCCCAGGAAGAGGAGGGAAGATACTCCATATCCAGCTCCTGCCCCCCCTGCTTTAGGTCCACAACTTTCAGACTCAGATTTTGGCAGTGGAGGAACCTTACACCAGGAAAATGTAATTGGTCTAATTCACCTCTCTGCTTAGCGAGGGGAGCACTAAATCTTGTATTTTAATGTTTTGGCTGTGCACTCACCTAATGGCTAGAACTTTCTGGGAGCTCTCTAGCTGTGTGCCAAGGATCTTTTACTGCTGCTAATCTTCTCCTAATCATTTAATGGCTCCCTCTGGTTATGAGATGACTCACCAGTAGGTGTTAGATCACCGCACATCACTGAAAAATGGAGCTCGCCCTTCCCCTCCAGCAAAAAGTCCACAGTCTGCAGCACTTCATGGGGAACAGGAGCTTGTTCAGGTGCTGACGAGTCACCAAGGGTGACAATGTTGCCTCACTGGAAGAGCCAGGCACGCTGTTTCAGTAACAAAGGCATCTCCTCGTTTCCTTGCCTGTCTGTGAGCCTGTGCAGAGCCAGCGCATGCTGTGGCTGTCACTGTGTCTGCTCCAGGCTCACTGGGACGCTGGTGTCCCCCAACTGTGCAAGCTTTTTGCAGAGCATTTAAATGTCAGGAAACCAGAGGGTGTGAGTAGAAGTTGGGCTGGGAGAAGCTGGGGCAAGCAGAAGGCAACTGTAGCTCCCTGCACGTGTACGTCCCTGAAGTGCACTAGATTTTCTCTGTTGTAAGAGTCCTGTGGAAGCATTTGTAGGAGCTACAAGTAAACCTTCTCCTAAGCCAACCGCCAAACCACCCGCTGCTTCAGCTACACGGGCAGTGGCCACCCATGGTCTCAGCGATTCTGCTAAACATACAGCCAAGTCATTTGCAGCAGGAAGCACCTGGCATCCCCTTCTCCTGCTTCAGGGCTCGCTCGCCCTTAGCTCCATTTCTCTCCTCCTTACCAGTCCCAGAGACGTGAGTGTGGGGCTCCATCCCTTCCTGAAGCAGTTTTCTGAGCCGATTTTGAGGAAGAAGGCTTTAAGGAGCTACGTTTTCTCCCCATCAGATCCCACACACTGTTCTGTGTCATCTCACGTGCTCCCAGCCCAATCTGTCTCACCCAACCAACGCAGACAACATCTGCATCATAGCAAACTGTAATAAACCACCTCATTTTCTTTAGATGCATTTCGATTTTAATAAATAAGTGGTACAATGGTGCCAAACCCGTGCATCAGGGCTCAAGAGACAAGGGTTATGTTTCAGGGCTGCTGTTCCCTACAGCACTACTGAACGACTGGTGCAGTTTCCGAGGCTGACAGCTGCGGATCAGACCTTCCCAGTTGTTGCAGGGTGTTTCTATCATTATAACAGAGATACCTAAACACAAGGAAAACTGCCATAGAGAGACACTGTGAATTACAAGCTGTGGATAAGGTGGAATTTAATCCTTTTCAGCTTTTGTGAACAGGTTGGTATCTCATTTAATTCCAGAGAACCACTGCTGTTGTAAAAGCAACCTCTGCCTTGCCAGTTCCTCTCTTGTAGGAAACCACTTCTGTAGGAGAGCATAGGAACTAAATCAGAACATAATCCCTGTGTCTTAATACCATCGTGCATGAGTCACCCTGACAAATAAAGTAGCTAGCTGCATTACTGCTCAGCAATTTAACGATTCATTTCATGCCTGACAGGAGAAAACACTGCACGGACTGGCCATCCTCCCTCGAGTAGATGTGCAGGAAAATCAGGTGGGATAACGAGCTCTTGGCTTGCTGGTGGTTCACTGCCAGGCAGAGTGCTTTCTCCAGCTTCAGGTTTGCAGTTGGACTTCACGGGACTTCAAGCAGAGCATTTCTTCCTTTCAGCAGCACCCCTTCTATGTGATCTTGGGCACAATTTGGAGAAGAGATTTCACTGAGGGATTGAAGTCCTCCCTCTCCCTGTGTGCGTGCTTGCTGGGTGTGCTCCTACAGCTCAGCAAAGGACTTCTTCAGACTTTGTGCAGAATACTTGAAAGAAGAGAGGGAAAAATAGTGAGTCCACTGACTTTTAATCCCTGCTTTCAATTTCTTAACTCTGCTCACATTTTCTTTCCAGGGACAAGTAGCGAGGTACACTACAAAATGTCTACATCTAAGCAGAAGCCCCAGCCGTGCTCCCTGATGATGATCCCTGAGCAAAGCAGAAGGCACAGACGTGCCAGGATCCCATTTTTTAATTCACCCACCCTTGGTGGAGAACTTGTGCTGGCATTTGTTGGTTGGACATGGGGCTTTTATTACTCTGCTAGCAAAGGCTATAAAAGAGGCATCATTGTAATGGCAAAAAGTGCATTGGCAATTTTAGTTTACTTGCAGAGCTGCCAAAAGCTATTTACACATACAGCCACAATAGCATTTTGCTAGGGCTTACAACTGGAGGTTTTCCCAGAAAACCTGTTATCACCAGTGCTTTGCAGGACAGCTATTCCTCCCTCTTCTACCTTCCCAGCTTCATTTATCACTTTGGGAGGCAGATTTATGGTAGCCCCTGCGCTGCTTTGATCAGTGCTCTCCACCAAGTCAGGTGCGGTCATTACAGCAGCTTTGCTAAATGTTTTGGGCATCTATCAGTCCTGATTGTTCCTCTCTCAGCTCTGAACGAGGTGGGGGTTCTCCCCGTTACAAACAGAGCAGTCTGGTGTGGCCGGTGCCATGGAGCCACTACCAGAGCAAAAAGCAGGGCCAGGCTGTGACTAACACAGAAATTTAATCCCCTCCTCCTTGAAATTTCTCTGTGGAAGAGGAATAAATGCAGAATTGCTTATAAAAATTACCATTATAGCACTTTTCATTTTTTCATGGATAATCTGGCTTCCTCCCCCCAGATGCTTAGCCAACACAATGCCTGGCTATTCCTATATAAATACCTTCCAAACCAAAGAAGTTTCTCTGCAAAAAAGCAAGTTTCTCTGCAATCCCATGTGAAACCGCCCATTTTTATGATATTCACTTGGTTTGCTCAAGCAAAGAGGGATGCCTGGCAGCGAGGTACTGCTGCAGCAGGTTCCTCGGGCTGGGGCTCCCATGGTGTTGGACCATAGGGAGCAGTGGATGACCGTGGGCAGGGGAATAGGCATCCGGGCAGGCTGAGCTGTATTTGCTACCATCCAGACCACATGCACATGGTGTTGGGAAGGGACTTGTGTGCCATGGGTGACACATGCTGAATCCTTGACCAAAAAGCACAACCTGCCTTTGGTGCAGTTTCCCCTCCAACACAGTCTTTGTCAGAGCTAACGCTGCCGGGATGGGCTGCTGAAGTTCAAAGCAAACGCTGTGACACGGACAATAGGGTGACTGTGCTTTACATGGTGGGGAAAAATCTTAAATACTTTGCATGGCTTCAGAAAGATCTGATTTTGGATGCTGCCCACTGCTGGTGCCCACAGTCTGAGGAATATGAAAGCCTGTAACTGGAGCTGCCAGCGTGTGGCATAAGGACAATCTCGCTGGGTCTCTGCAGGTGCTTAGAGAGTAAAATCCCGACAAGGAGTGCAATACTGGTCCCAGTCCCTCTCCCAGCTGCAGTCCTAGTCCAGTCTGGAGTGGGGTGACCAGCACTACACGCTCTAACCAGCATGTAGAGACACCACAGATCTATATGTTAGCACAGCAGTGGTTCATTTTCCTCTTTCCCAGCAATCCACATATGCTTGTCTGCCAAGAACTCAGGTGGCATCTGCTGTAAGCTCTCTGCTAAGCCTCCGAGAGCCCGTTTTGAGCCGCAACAGCTAATGCAGAACCTGTCCCTGTGTTTGGTATATCTGAGGCTGCTTTTTTCTTCCATACATTACCATGCATTTACTGACACTGTTATATCACCTACTCATTCAGTGTCATGCAATCTTCCTGCAGCTGTCCGCAGATGGTTTTTATTTTAACTGCCTTGCGTAATTCTTTATCATCAGCATCAGGTTGCTGCTGATAATGGGGCAGGATATGGGGTTGTAGCACAGCAGGCAGGGCTCAGCTGAGCCCAGGGAATCCTTTACGCTGCTCAGCCTCCGAGCTGCACAGACCAGAGGAGTTTTGGGGGTTCCTGTCTGCAGCACGTAGCAGTGCCGCACGAAGCTGCTCTGAAGCAGTTTTAAGTTCCTGTTGGAGGAGGGCGGTGCTGGGACATGGACTTTGACAAATTTATCTCCATGGCCTGCATTAGTCAGCTTGGTATGGCATGGCACGGGGCAGGCTGCTCCTGCTCCCTGCGCTGCCCGCATGGGCTGCCGGGCAATGGCTGGCCCTGCCAGCAAGAAGCAAAGCTCCAACCGAGCTTCTGTTTCGCATGAGCACAATCCTCCCACCCCTAAATAAATACATCAACCATTTGCTCTCTTTTTACCTTTGCTTTGACAGAGGGGCAGGGGCTGTGTTGACGTAGTCTGGCTCATCATCCGGGCTTTCTGTCTGCAGAGCTGTGGGCGAGGATGGGAAGCACTGATCAGTAAGCCGGATGATCTAAAAACACATCACACCATAGACACACTGTGCGTCTGCCAATATTTAGCCTTCAGTACCAACATGTTTTTGTGCCTGGGCTAAGAAACCTCAGATCACAGTGTCAAGGTCTCCTTGAAGGGGCTTCAGAATGGTCACAGCAAATCTGCAAACACTCTGCAAGCAGCGAGCGTGGACAGCTTTTCAGAGCCAAGAGAGACGGACTTAGATTTAATCTTGAGGGTGCGCAAACAGGATAACAAGAATCAGTTTGCTTAGGCAGCTTCCACATCAGAGACACAAAGCTCTTAAATACATATCAGAAAGCTCTTAAACATATATGTATACATTCACCACTATCTCCCAGGCCAGGCTACCCCCTATGCTTCACAGGAAGCCGCACATTAGATTAAACTGTTGTTTAAAGCTTAAGAAATATGCACCCCCGATTACTGCAGGAGAGTCGCAGGCTGTCCCACTGGATGCGCATGCTGCACATTTCTTTGTCAAAAGGGATTACGAGGCTTGCACCAGGGCAACTTCAAAACGTAGAAGGATATAAGACATGAAAAGAGTGACATCATTCTGTGGCACCCCATGGCCAGGGTTTAGGCACAGCCACCTACATGGTGGCCTTTTGAGTGCTAGGAACACCAGGTCCCATCACAGTGGCATTCAACTACAAGTGCATGTAGCAATTTGCACATTGCCTTAGATGTTTGTCACGGATGACTGGGGAAAAAAAATAACTCAAGACGGGTGCGATGGCTGCATTGCCCTGAGCGTGGTCTATACTGGTCTAGTGCAACAGGCACCCTGTCCGTGAGCCCCATCCCTAAATAGTAAACAATTGCTGAGAACATACCTTCTGCTTCCTGGAGTTTCCATATGTGTATCGCTGCACTGTTCTCATAGTCTACAGCGTCATCTGTGACTAAAAAGAGTTTGGACAGGATGATGCTGAACAGCAAATAGACTAAAAATGGACCTTTGTGAAACCCCCCTCCTACCGCTGCACCCCAACCGCCCCATGCACGTGGCTGAGTTTCCAGCCCGGCTGCTGCCGTCCTGCCGCAGGTCTGCTGATGCTGCCTCATCGCTTTTCCAGCCCTGACCACGCGCCTGGATAGCTGCAGGCACGGACAGGGATCAGACTGGGCCCTGCTGCTCCTGCCTCCTCTAATCGCTCCACACAAAGCCAGGCAGGAGCAGGGCAGGCTTTAGCAATGCAGAAAGCGTTGTGATAATTCACTGAAGGAAACCAAACTGACTTCCTATTTTGATTGCAACATCCCAGGACAGAAGCTGGAAGCCCTTAAGCAGACATTGTGGTCCAACATCATCCTCCAGCGGCTCACTGGCTGCAGCCTTCTTGGGCTGGGTGTGGTGAGAAACCTGAGCTGGGGGCTAGAACCACGATCAATCTTGGCTATAACAACACTAAAAACATTGAGAAGCAATGCAAACCCCAAAGCTCCTGAACTGCTGCAGAAACCTCCAAGTCAAAGGGACCAGCTTGGAGGTGAGCTCTGGGCCAGGAAGGTATCACCACGTGAATTTTCCTGCAGAAAGGGGAAATGCTCCAGGTCTGCTCTGTGCGTGCAGCAGCCCCTGTACCCCAGCTCCGCCGGCACGGAGCTGATAAGAAGAGCCAAGCCTGTGAATGAGGGGTTTTTCCTTCGGCTGAGCAGGTCGCCGTCCCTCTCTGCACTTCCAGATACCTTCGTGCAACACGCATGAACCACAACAGCAACACACCTACCCAGATCGGAGCTGTGAGACACCTCAATGATGACGTTTTGATAGGAATGGGAATCCTCCTCTTTCTCTGGCGGAGAGAAGAAAGAGGGGGGACAGAGGACTTAAGGAAGCGTAGCTGACCTGGGAAGATCCCTCAGCACCTGCAGGAGAGGGCATTTCCCACAACAAAATGCACATTAGCTAAAAACCCATCAGTCTTTGTGACAGCCTGTGCTGACCCAGGAACGGGGCATCCCCAGCGCAGCTGAACCGGGCAATTGCTGCCCCGTGGGAGCATCATCACCAACGCCATGGAGCGCCGGCTGAGCCTCTCCGGCCACGGCACCGGCCATGGCACGAGCCACCTGAGGGCGAGCTGCCAAAGCTGGTCCTGAGGCACCGTGACTTTTCTTACGGATAGGAATAAAAACCAATCAGCATAATTACTAACCCTACAGCAGTCCCTACGGTGAACAGGGGGAGGGCTGGCTCTGTCGAGGAGTGAATCACCAGGCTCCCAGCCCAGGGTAGCAGTCAGGAGAGGGTTTTCCTTCCCAGCGAGTGTTAAGCTTGCGACTCCAGTGTCTTCTTGGGCTTATTCTCAGTTTCTGGGAAGGCACTGACCCCCAGTCCAAGCATGTAAAATCTAATAGCATCGAGAACCAAAATCTGCTTGAAAGAATTTAAAACCCCCAAGCTCTTTGTTCTGTTGCTGGTTATTTCAGCTCTCTGGGTTGGCCCATAAACAGCTGAACCACGTGAGTCCCTATATTGCTAACCTCAAAACCTGCATCCACTGACGCTGACAACACCACTGACACCCAACAGTTCGTGTGGTCATGGCACCTAAGCTTGAAAAAGTTTGCAGACAGTGTAAGCACCGCTGCTGCTCACCCCACAACCCTCCAATGCTTCTCCAAAGCCTCTTCGAAGGGGACAAGCACTGAGCTCAGCAGGTTGACTGATCTCAGCCAGGACAGGCAGTCCCCGCATGGGCGAGGGCTCTGCTGCCCAAAACCCCACTGGGCAGGAGAGGAAGGCATTAGCCAAGCGAGGCACTCAGAGCAGTTCCGTAAGAGCTACACACTGACACTACCTCTAGGTAGTCCTCAGCCACAGAAAAAGCATTAAAACTAATAAGGGATACAAAAGCATTTATGTTAATACATTCAGGTTTCTCTTTCTCCCCCCCCCCCTTTTTTTTAAAGGTAAATTTTTTTGGTAAACAAGGTATTTTTTCTCTCTTTTTTTAAATTTTTTGTTTCCTCCCCCCAAGTCTCTTTAAACAAAAAATAGGATTTGTGTTTTGAAATTCATTTTAGATAAAAATAGATTGATGTCTGAGTCAGTGCAGAGAAGTGCTGCGTACCCAGGGAAGTGAAAACATTTCACAGATGCAATATGTGCCTTGAAAAGATGCATTTGAATGGAGCGGTGCATTTCATCCCACCTTCATTCACTAGCTTCCTAAACCAAGCACACAAAGTACTTGATGGTGTCCCTTTGGCAAAAAGCTTCTGGAGGAGGGCATGCCCGTTCCCATGCATCTGGGCAGGACCCTGTGGGGCTGCAATATCTGCTCATGCAAACCAGACTGAGCTAAGAACAGGGAAATGGCCTCATTACCCTGCACGCTCTTGCAGTGATGGATAATTTGCTGCTGCCCAGAGACGAAATGGAGTAAGAACAAAGTGTTTTGTGCAATCGGAGTCATGGATGTGTTCGGGCTGTCCAGCCAATGGAGGGACTGATCGGGGCTTGGGTGTCCCTCACACCCCACGGCTCTGCTACACCACTTAACAAACCCATGTCTCCTGGCCCCACGCTTGCTTCAGGCCATACAGCAATAACGCACAGACCTAGGCAAGAAAAGTCTTGCGAGCTCCCTGGAGCCACGGGACAGCCGGGCTGGCGGCTGGAGAAGAAACCCCTCTCGCTCCCGTGGAAACCTTACCATTGGGTGGCGTGAAGAACCTGGCACAGTTGTAGTAATCCAGAAAGATGGGCTCCCTGCAACAAGAGCGTCTGCCGTGAGCTCCTCCTGCCCCAGGCAGCCCAGGGGCTTCCCAGCCTGAGCGACAAGAGAGCCAGGACCGCACTGGGACCAGTACGGCTCCATTCGATCACGCCAGCAGGCAGCAACCAGCTACTTACACGTAGGCAGCGTCCCCTTGCAGGCAGTCCTCTGCAAGCACAAAGGGGTTGCCGTCAGCACGCCATACCGTTGCATAAACTCAAACTGCCATCTCAAAGCAGAGCCGGACAAATTCCCCGAGCACAGCTATAGCAGATGTCCCCAGCAGCCAGAAAGCCCCTGGCACGGCCCCAAAGCCTGTCCACAAGCAGAGCCGGGAGGCTGGAGCAAGGGGAGGCAGCCCCGATCCACCCCAGGCCCTGAAAAAACACAGGGCTCACCACTTCTCATGGACAGATCCTGCCATGCCAGCTGGCAGGGAGATCAGGAATATCCTCCCTGGTTTGGGAAAGGAGAGCACAGCCCCACGCACCGATAATCCTCTCAGGGCGAGCACCAGCTCACGCCGCCCCAGGAGGGAGCGGAGGGCTCGTGAGCATCCCGGCCCCCTCCACTCTGAGCGTTAATCAGCTCAGCACACATCTTATAAAGCAATCACTAAATTAACCAAGCCAGAGCTCTGCCAGCTGCGGTGCCCACCGCCTGCGCGCTCCCCACCGGCTCTTATCCCTGGTCGCCTCTCATCACCTCGGCAGCCTTCCCTCCCCAAACCCCCGGGGCATGTGGCTGCAGCACTTACCTGTCAGGAAATTCTGATACCTGGGTTCGGTCCTGCTCCCTGGGGAAAAGCAGAGGGGCATGTTAAACTCAGGCTCAGGCTGAGCGATGGGAGCAGTTCGATGATGGAGGCACCGAGCATTTTGGCATCAGCAGCTCTGCCCCTGCTCAGCTCTTTGCTGGGGGCCGGGGAAAGCGGCTGCAAGGTTGGACATCCCGGGACAGAGGTGTTGGGACAGCCAGGTGGGATATTTTAAATAATCTGGCCCTGTGGCTCTAACCAGGACTGGTCAGCCAGAGCAGAAAAAGCACTGGATTTTAAACTCAGACCCAGGCTAGATCTTATTAAGCGTTGCTGTGCAGCATCATGGGTAGGTGCTAATAATAGGAATTAATTTTATCATCGCCCAGCTTGTTTCCAGGATAACCCCCTGTCCCCTGCCCAGGGTCCAGCAGTGAGTAACCAGCCTCTCGGAGGCTCTGTCTTTCCAAAACCGGTGAGAGCTCCCAGCTGGCACATACACAAATGAGCCAAGATTTGCAGCATCCCCGTTTATGAATCTTGTGGTGCTTCCCCCGTGGCTGCGTGGATGGGGAGAGCATTGAAGCAGTGCCTGTCCTGGGGGAGATGCTTACCGTATCCAGCGTGGCGGGAGGCACCAAGCGCCTCGGTGGTTTTCCTGAAAGAGAGAACAGGGAGCTAAAATCCCAGGTCTCAGCAAACCGTACCAGGGGTTACAAACCACAGCAACGACTAAGCCAGATGGACCATCCGTGAAACCTCCCTGCAAGGTTATAACAGGACGCAGACCAAGCAATGGGAGATGAAGAGTTTGGGGTCAAATCCCAAGATGGGAATGAGTATGCCTGAATATTGCAGCAGAGTTATTGCAGCTGTGTAGTTCTTGGGGGTCCGGGTGATGGGGAGAAGGGCATTTCTCCTGTCAGACTGCTTATAAGCAAAGAATGGCTGTTTCTTTTTCATGATTTCACATACCTATTATGTACAGCAACAGCTTATTTCCTTGGGTTCGATTTAAACGGTTGCCAGTAGAATGCAGTCAGACTGAAGAAAACCTAGAAGTAATCTAAACCCAATATTGACCATCAATAAATTAAGCAACCTGATCTAGTTGAAGATGTCCCTACTTATTGCAGTGGGAGTTGGACTAGATGACCTTTATAGGTCCCTTCCAACCCAAACTATTCTATGATTCTAAGTATAGGCCAAGCCACATCTATAGGGGCCACAATCCAATCCCAAGTCCTGAACATTCACATATGTTGGGTGAACTTCATCCAACCTTGGCTCCACAGCTAGATTTTGTTTGGGTTTTTTACCTACCTTGCTATTGATAAGTTTTCAGGTCCCTTAATTTGTTCCAGCCTTTGGGTTGTAGCTAGCACCAAGAAAAAAAAAGGGTGTTAATTATTATGGCAGCAGCAGGTATTTCAAAGAGCACAGAGCATCCACCAGAGAGGATTCCCTGGTACTGGCAAGCATATTTCTAATGTGTCCCAAAATAGCTTCCAAATCATTCCTTGAAAGTTCATAAATGGCCAAAACAGGAAACAAATAGAGGAAAAGATGGTGTCTGTGCAGACCACAGAGCTAGCAAACACACACCGGAGGAAGCTACAATCCCAACTGCTGCCTTATTGCCTATTCTCCCCCAAACCCACTTGATTCGGGGGCCTTTCCCGCGCTCAGCACCCCTCCCTTCACACCACGAGATGCGTCGGTAGGTCATGAGCTTTGGTCGGGCTGGGCTGAAGCAAAGGCTCGTAGTGGGGCTATGGGGCTCAGGCCCAGCAAGGTCCCAGGGAAAGGAGCAGCCCTACAGATGCAGATGGTGACATTTAATACAGACCCTGTTAGCAGCTCGCTTCAGGATAAAAATCAAAAGGTCAGAGCCTAACCCAGCCTGCCACAGGAAGCAGTAAGGGGGTGATGATAAATGAGTCACTCCTATCAATTCAGGTTCACCCACACTGTCGTTTTCACAGGGTTTCACAGAGCCCAAGTTAATAAGGCGTTGCATTTCAGTGACATTGTTTTAGTGATTTATTTCCAATGTGCAAGGAGATTTTTTCCTAGAGCTCAGAATTCGCATCCCTAGAAGCATCTAAGGTGGCTTTGACAATCTTGGTCTCATACCACTTTAACACCTGGCTTCAAGGTGACCCTTTTATTTTTACTTTCCCCCCATTTTGTGCGTGCAGGACCCCCGCCCCACAACGCAGGAGCCCCGTGCAATGTTCATACTCACTGGAATGGGATCGAATCACCCCAAAAGTCTGCTGGCTTTCGAGCCTGGAAAAAAGAGAGGTACAACTTCAGCTGAATTTGGGGGTCTATGATAAGAAAAACAGATGTGAGACCTCCCTGTTTGGTGACCAGAGGGAAGAGAGCACAGCCCCCACGCTGGGCTTGGCGAAATGCCGAGATGCATTGCTCAGTGCGTCACACAGGACCAGTATGAGCTGGGAGCAGTTTCCCGGACTCCTCTTTGACCCTTTAAAGTCAAGATGTGCTTACGGTGCATTGGCAGAGCAGCCAACATCAGCTAAGGGAAGGACCCAGGGATGAGGAAAATACCGTTTAGAGTAATTCCTACTCTGACACTTTATGCACCAGTTAAGACCAGAAGAGCATTTTCACCCACAAAAACCTGGGTGTTCACCCATGAAATGGCTTCAAACCCCACTGCTTCACCTCCGCTGCTGTCCCTGCCCCTTCCAACATCCCTCAACATCAACCTGAAAAAAATAACATATGTGCCCAGTAACCTCCTTACCTTTTATTTAACAGGAGAGCTGCTCCTCAGAGCACAAGAGGAATCAATGGCTTTTCTACAGCAGGCGCATACAGGCACTTAACTCTGATTTTGGGACCCTGAAAGTGTCCCTTCCCTCCGCTTTCATTCAGGTCACCCCCCCATCCCAAGCCGGTATTCACAGCACAGGGCTGGCGGGGAGACGAGGTGTCAGTGGACCTCATTGCAAAGTCTGCAAATGTATAGAGTTTAACCACTTCGCTTGCAAAAAGCCCAAACTAACCCAAAAGAGATCTCTAAAAAGAGCACACAATACCACGAGCCGGAAGTCAAACCACCTAATCCAGGTATAAATCTCAAGAAGTCGGGACGATTCAGTATGAGCCCGCGGGGGATGGAGCCTGTGCTGGCTTTTCCATCAGTCTGCGATGGACCACACAGAAGCCTTACCCCAGTCCTGGGCAAGCGGGGCAGAAACAAACACCCCGACCCCACAGAGGCCTTTGCAGAGCCCCTTTGCACCACATTTGCTCCTATATCAAAGGTTACAAGCCAGGTTTTGGTTTTTGTTAGTTTTTTGTTGGGTTTTTTTTTTATATCATTTAGCTGTGGTTTGTCTGTTGCTGAAGGAAATAAGGGGGGATGTGTGTGTGTGTGTACAATTGCATTTCCTTCGCTATTGATGCTGCAGGTCAGTGGTTGATCTGGCAGAGGGTCCCACCAGCACCAGCCAAGGGCAGGGTCTTGTTTATGAAGTTACCAACTTCTCTACCTCATCTTGGGGCACAACAGGACAGGGTAAGGACTTGCCCTTCCAATTCTCCCAGATCTTTTTCCAGCTGGTTAATGACTCACAGGTATCATGGTCAGAGCTTCAGTTTAAATTTGGATTAGTCTTTGTGAAGGCATTACCCCTTCAGCAGCGCCCTGGGTTAGGGCACAGCACCCTGCACGCCCCATTCTGGGATTCTTTTATTTTATATAAATGCAGATTTCAGCTGTGAGGCATGAAATGGGTCTGGCTCTGGCCAGGGTCTCACCCCGGGTGAGCTGTTTGGGGGAGACGGGCGATTGTGAAAGGCAACTTACTGGCTCCTCCGCTCAGTCGGCTGCTTCTCTCGCTTGGTGGCTGGAAGACAAGGGGAAAAAAGCTCTCAGAAAAGGACGATTTGGGAGTTAAAGATCGGAAAGACCAATAAAACACGTTCACAAAACTTCTTCAACTGGGAGCACAGGAAGACAGGGGAGGGAGCGAGCAGCAGTTGGGTTAGAGTTTTGATTAATTTTTTTTAAACCATGTTTAAATTGTAGTATTTGTCTCTGACACCGCAAAGCAAGTCAGCCAGCCATTCCTGTCCCCAAAACCCCAAACTGCAGCCTCTCTCCCCCAGTAAAACCCACCCAGTGCTCAGAGTTGGGCTCAAACCCCTACTGGGTGCGTGCCTGCCCCACCCTCTTTGTATTTAATGTATATATGAATTTATCCCCCAGGCTCTCCTTCCGTGCCCGCCCTCCTCCTGCCTGCCTGCCCCAGAGCCTCTGCAGAATTTGTCCCAAAGCCACCCACCACGGAGGGGACATCCTAAGAGAAAAGGGTCTGCCCACCATGACCCCCCCCAGCCCAGCCTGGGGCCGCGGGCAGGACCTTACCGGAGAGCTGGCACTTGAGGCAGAGGCTGACGGTGGCCCCGAGCAGCATCAGCGCGGCAGCCACCCACAGCAGCTCCAGCTGCGCCATGGCCCGGCCGCATCCAGCCTGAAACGGAGCGGCGAAAGGAACCCCGTCAGCATCGGGGGTACGCGGGGCTGCGCGGCCGCCGCTGGGAAAGCCGTTACCCCCCCTCCCTGCCAAGAGCCATGTGCTATCTGCCTTCACACCCCCAAAGAGCCGGGCGTTCGCCGAGGATGCAGAAGAGACTTCAGGGTTGTATTTCGGGGCGGCAGAGGCGATGGCTTTTCCCTGCGCTGCTCTGGTCCGAGCGGCTGCCCACACGCTTTCCGCTCCAGTAAGACCTGAGCGCGCCCCGGAGCCGAACCCCTGTTTCACTGTAGGGAAAGAGAAGAGGTTCACGGGGTTCCCCTCAGGTCATCAGCACAAAGAGGAAAAACCCATTTGGATTTACTCATCCCCACTCCCACAACCCACGTTTCCATCGTCAAACATTATCAGCAGACACTATTTTTTAATAGCAAGAAAGGAAGACAGAAAGGGAGGCGCTTGGAAATATTCAAAGCTGCCAAGACCTCCGTATGAGGCACTCCGGCTATTTCCCTGCAGTGCAGTTACTTTAAATGTTAAATTCCCCACACTTTTTCCTGCATTTTGCTGGCTCAGACACTGACTCTTCCCCTCCTTTCCATGACAGCCTCTTCCACAAACAGCAGCTAACATTTTGTAATGATCAGCATGATTTGGCTTCAATTTCTTCCTTTAAAACCTATCCTATAAATATCACAGAAAACAGCCTGCTGGGTCTGGGACAGATAGTTTAGCCCATTCGTGTTCCCCGGGGCCAGATTTTCTTTACTTACAGATTATTTTAATTTATTTTTGTTTTTAATAAACTTCTTCTTTGGCCCCTAGGGATAGAGAAGCTTCAACTTGCCAAAGACCAGAACGTCGTTGCTCTGCCTGGTAAGAAGCTTTCCTACCACCTAACCTGAATATCCCTTATTACAATTCAAGCCTGTATTGTATCGGTATAACCACTGTGGATGGGGGGGGGGGGGGGGGGATAATAAAAAAAAAAAAAAAAAAAAAAAAAAAAA